CTGCGTCTACCTGGGACACACCTGAAGGGGCAGGACCCTGAGGGGGGAGGGGGTCTACCGGGGGGGGACCTGGTACAAGGAAGAGCGGTGGCGGGGGGAGGGACGGAGTGCGGTAGGGGAAGAGGCGGTAGTAGGGGACCGACTCGTCAAACGTGACGTCCTGGGAGGACAGAACACGGCGAGAGGTGGGGTGGTAGAACTGCCACCCTGGCGCGTCAGGGGGGAAGCCAAGGAAGACGCAAGGAGCAGCACGAGGGGACAGCTTGTCCGCAGACAAGTCGCGGACAAACGCCCGAGATCCCCAGACACGGAACGCAGACGCATCGCCAACCTTCCCCGTCCACAGCAAGGCTGGGGAGGTCTCCGGCATGGAGACCCTGGGGTGAAGGTTGATCTGATGCGCCGCGTACCGAACAGCAAACGGCCACAGAAAATGGGGGGCAGCCGCATGCATCATGGACGTACGGGCGACGTCCATGACCATGCCAATGCGGCGCTCAGCAATCCCATTTTGCTGTGGAGAGTCCGGAAGCGTGAAGGTCTGGCGGATGCCTCGTGCACGACAGTAGGCTCGCAGAAGGCCAGAGGAGAACTCCCCGCCTCTGTCAGAGTGTAGACGCAGAACAGGAAAGTCCGAGCCGAAACTCTTCCTGAGCTGGAGACGAGCTGCGCGGATCCAGTCGATCAACACCTCAGTGACATCACCCTTGCTGCGCAAGGGGAAGACTGTGGTGTAACGCGAGTAGTCGTCAACCACCAGCAGGAAGTAGCGCTCGTGACCCTGTCCACGGACGCGGGCCGGGCCCCACACGTCCATGTGAAGCGTCTGCAGCGGGGCCTCTGTCGGAGGAAACTGGGAGGAGTGAGGGGCAGCCCGCTGCCGCCCCTCGACACAGGGGACGCAGGTAGGGGCAGGCCCCGGAGGAAGGGGAGGGAGGGACCGGGGAATACCAGAGACAAGGACACGGGAGGCCATGCCTCGGAGACGAAGCAGGGAGGGGTGACCAAGGCGGTGGTGCCAGAGGAGAGTCTCGTGAGACAGGAGGCGACACGAACAGGGGGCAGACTCAGGACCAGACCTGGACGCTGCAGCAAACACCTGACCTGACGCAGCTACCTGACCAGACGCAGTGACCGGAGGAGACGCAGTGGTCAGTGTGTACAGGCTCGACCCCGGCCGACGTGTAAACGTGGCCAGGTGTCGGCCTGTCCGAGCGTCCGTGCAGTGGGTCACCCGCTGACTCGCAGGAGTGAACTGGTGAACCCCCGCATCCTGTAGGTCAGCACCACTCACCAAGTTCGTAGAGAACGAGGGGAGGTAAAGACCAGACAGGGTGCCAGAGGGGGCCGCCGGACACGGGACGATAGTGGAGAAGTGAGCAAGGACAGGACCCCCAGAGGGGTCTGCCAGAGAGACTGCAACTGGCCGGCCAAGCGGCGTGAGTGTGGTGCGGTCTCGAAAGAAGGAGCGAGAAGCCCCCGAGTCAAGGGTGAAGGTGTGGGAGGCCGAAGCCGACACAGAACCTGAGAGAGCAGACTCACCAGCACCTGAGGGAGCAGACGCACCTAGAGCAGCAGCCTCGCTAGCACCTAGAGCAGCAGCCTCACCAGTACCTAGAGCAGCAGTCTCAATGCCCGGGTCGGGCGGAAAACACCGGTAACAGTCACCCTCATCACTAATAGTCACAGTATACATGGCAGCAAGAATAGCATCAAAGTCAAGGTCAAAGACAGCTACACCCGCCCTAGACAGCTCACCCCAGCGGGGGATCTCAATGGCCTCAGGGAACTGGTGACGCCAAGCGTCCGTCAGGCGGCCAAAGCAGCGCTGGGTGGAGTGCGCACCCCCGCACTGGTCACCCGCGCGGTCGCCGGTGCGGAGGACGTAGGTGCACGGACCAGTACCCCAACCCCTCTGGCGTGCAGTGTACCACTCACGGAGCTGCTGAGGGGAGGGGATGTCACGAGTGCGCTGCTGCTGCTGCTGCTGCTGCTGGCGCTGACCACCACCGGAGCCGACCCTCTGCGCAGCGCCACCCCGACTAGCTCCACCTCCTCCGCCGCCTCCTCCTCCACCGCCGCCACCTCCGCTCCCACCGCCACCGCCGCCTCCGCCTCCGCCTCCACTGCCGCCACCGACACCTCCACCCCCGCCACCACCCCCACCGCCACCCCCACCCCCTCCACCGCCTCCACCTCCGCCTCCACCGCCCCCGCTAGCTCCTCCAGTGCCCCTGCCCCCCTTGCCCTTGCCAGGGCGACGTCTCCCGCTAGGGGTAGACGCCGCACCGACCGACTCAAGCCCAACGAGGTCGGCCGCAGCAGCAGAGGCAACAGAGGGCAAAAGGGGGGAGGGGGAACACCCCTCAAAGATGGGGGTGCGAGGGTCACCACGAGAGGCTCCTACAGCGACTATGCTCTTCTCTGCTGCTAGGAGGGACTTCTCGAGGAGGTCAACGGTGAGAGTGGTGGGGCAAACTGAGAGGAAGTGGTCCCTGACTACGCGAAGGGAGTCAGGGAGCCGGGTGACTATGTAGTAGAGGGTGATGTACATGGGGGGGGGGTTCTTGGCGCAGAACTCAGCAGGAAGCGCAGCGCGGTAGCGAGTGTCACTAGTGCGGAGGTGCGTAATGAGGTCAGCGACTGTGGGAAAGGCAGCAAGGTCAGGGAAGAGGTACGGTAGCATGAGGCGGCTCAGTGCAGAAGTGGCAGGGGAGGAGTAGCGCGCAACTACATCGTCGTACAAGGTCTGAGCACTCTTGTACTGGCTAAAGTGCGCACGCTCAGAGGTAGGCAGGTGGCGACGCACAGCAAGACGTGCAGCAGCATCGCGCGTGGCCCACTGTGAGCGAACAGTGGCGTCAGCATCAGCAGCGGGGGCAGGAGAGGCACCAGAAGTGAGGTCAAAGAGGGAGAGGCCGTCTGCCCTGTCGCACTGTAAGAAAAGCTGCAGGTCATCTATCCAGACATCAAAGTCAATGGCCCGACCCTCAGCGTCAAAAGCGAGGACACTAGGGGTAGCCATGACAGTAGTAGACTAGCAGCGCAAACAGTAGGGTGAGGGCAGTGCTGTGAAAGGGGCGCTGCTCTTACCGGACAGGGCGGCTCGGGTGGCTCGGCTGCAGGGCGGCTCGGCGGCTCGGCTGCTGGGCGGCTCGGCGGCTCGGCGGCTCGGTTGCTGGGCGGCTCGGCGGCTCGGCTGCTGGGCGGCTCGGTGGCTCGGCTGCTGGGCGGCTCGGCTGCTGGGCGGTTCGGCGGCTGGGCGGCTCGGCTGCTGGGCGGCTCGGCGGCTCGGCGGCTCGGCCGTTCGGCTGCGACTGCTGCTGCAGAGACGGCGGCGGCTGCTGCCTCAGGGACGGCAGCGGCCGGCCGCTAGGGGCCGCGTCAGGTGCAGGAGAGGGCCGCGTCAGGGGCGGCGTAGGGGCCGCGGCAGGGGCGGCGAAGGGGCCGCGTCAGGGGCCGCGTCAGGGGTCGCGGCAGGGGCCGCGTCAGGGGCCGCGTCAGGGGCCGCGGCAGGGGCTGCGGCAGGGGCCGCGTCAGGGGCCGCGTCAGGGGCCGCGTCAGGGGCCGCGTCAGGGGCGGCGTAGGGGCCGCGTCAGGGGCCGCGTCAGGGGCCTCGTCAGGGGCCGCGGCAGGGGCCGCGTCAGGGGCCGCGTCAGGGGCCTCGTCAGGGGCCGCGGCAGGGGCCGCGTCAGGGGCGGCGTCAGGGGCGGCGTAGGGGCCGCGGTAGTGGCGGCGGAGGGGCCGCGTCAGGGGCCGCGTCAGGGGCCGCCTCAGGGGCAGCGTAGGTGCCGCGTAGGGGCCGCGTCAGGGGCCGCGTTGGGGCCGCGTCAGGGGCCGCGTTGGGGCCGCGTCAGGGGCCGCGTAGGGGCCACGTCAGGGGCCGCGTTGGGGCCGCATCAGAGGCCGCGAAGGGGCCGCGTCAGGGGCGACGTAGGGGCCGGGTAGGGGCCGCGTAGGGGCCGCGTAGGGGCCGCGTAGGGGTCGCGTAGGGGCCGCTAGGGGGGGGGGGGGCGCTAAAAAAAAATTTAGGGCAGGGGCGCAATGCGCGTCGGGCAGCTAAAAAAAAATTTCGTTATGGTGGGCCCTTAGGAAGGAACGGTCCCATGTAGGAACCCGCTCTATACCATGTGAATTAAGAAAACAGGAAATGAGAATGACTAAGGGAAAGTTGGGTACAAATACAAACCCTAGAAAACTGTACCCCATATGTGCTACCCCACTATAGCCTACAGTAGCTCTGTCATATAAATCTGACAGTGAGAGGTCTTCGAAAGTCAATGTAAGCGAAAATGGGTTGTGGCCTCGCTGCAAAACTGAGATTCGTTACCTTTTTAATGAAGAATTATAAATAAAATTACACATGCGCTTATAATATATCAGGGTTTTATAAGGGGTGCGCTTATAATTGAGGATCGGCCATAAGCGCATTGCTCCAGATACAAGTGCATGCGCTTTTAATAGGCCTGCGCTTATATCCGGGGCCATACGGTATATGTTATGGTCTATCTAGGCTGTAGTGGGGTAGACACTATAGGGTACAACATTTCTAGGTTTCCTACTTGTACCCACATTCTCCTTAGTCATTCCATTCCTCATTTCTTCACAGTGACCTAGGCTCGATCAACTTTTGATCACAACAAAAATTTAATTTATGATAGAAATCTAATATTGTAATCATATATAATATCACCTTGATTATCAGTGCATCAGATTAATTTATGCTGATAAAAAATCCCCTAATTCTGATAGAATTTGAGGAGTAAAATCTCTTTTGAGGGTTACCTAATGTGCTTTCTTGTTGTTTTCATGTTGTTTTCTTAGCAAGTCTAATTTCCCTACTTCGCATCATTCATAAATAGTTTCGGATCTGCTAAAATTGCGTACCAAAAGCGTTCAGCCAGAAATGAGGCACTGGGTGCGAGTAAGGGGACAAAACGACATCCTGGCGACGAGAGAGCGACGGTAGACGACGAAAGAGCGAAAATATCAAATTAACGATGGCTGAAAGACGCGACAGCAGAGTCGCGAGGAGCAGCGGGATTGGCGGGTGGGACAAGCACGCGCGCGCCCCCGGCGGCGGCAGCGGCGGAGACAGCGGCGGTGGCGGCGGCGGAGGCAGCAGCGTCGCTGCGAGCAGCATAGGCGGAAGCGGCGGCGGCGGCGGAGGCGGCGCGAAGAGGCGGTGGAAGCCCGCGCCGGTCGCGCTTCGTCTCGATCATTTCCTCGCCGCCGCCACCGGGCCCGCCGCCACCGCTTCTGTTGCCACCCGCGCTGCGCGCGAATCCGCGGAAATTGGCCCGCGCGCCAGTGGGACGGGAAGGGCAAATGCGGGTATTAGTGACGGGCGGCCGCGCGGATGCGAAAAGGGAGGCGGAGCGGGGAGAGGAGGCGCAGGGAGAGGAGGGGGAAGTGAGGATGCTGGCGCGCGTGGCTTGGTTTTGGCGGAAACGAGGCAAGGGGTGGGAGCAGGGGGAGCAGGGGGCGGAGCAGGAGGGCGGAGGAGGGGAGAAGTGGCAGGCGGAAGTGTGGGGGCGGGCGGGCGAGAGGGAAAAGGGGAGAGCGCGCGCAAGGAGCTCGAGAGGGGGAGAGAGAAGGGGCGCAATTGGGAGAACGGGGGGGAGCGCGGAGGGGGGCGAGAGGGGGGTCGGGTGCTGGTGAACCCTGCAACTTCGGAGAGCATTGGCGTGAGGCGGGGAAAGGAGAGGCAGACACCGAAGCAGAAGCGAGTGAGCCGACTGAAGCGGATGGTGGTGCTGGCGAGACAGGCGCGCGGGGAGGGGGAGACAGGGGAGGGAGGGCAGGGGGAAAGGGAGAATAGGGAGGCGGAGGGGGAGAGGGAGGGAACGGGAGAGAAGGTGAGGGAACGGGAGAGGTTGGGAGAGGAAGCGGGGGAGAGAGTGGGAATGGGAGAGGGAGAAGGGGAGGAGGAGGAGGAGGAGGAGGAGGAGGAGGAGGAGGAGGAGGAGGAGGAGGAGGAGGAGGAGGAGGAGGAGGAGGAGGAGGAGGAGGAGGAGGAAGGGGAGGAAGAAGAGCGTGTGGTGCATGGTGATGGTGGGAGGAATGGAGGAGGCATGGGATGGGTGGAGCATGAGAGGCGTGAAGAGGGGTGTGCTGCCACAGTGGTGGGGGTGGGAGAGGCGAGTGAGGGGCCAGAGAGGGGAGACAGGAGAGAAAGGTTAGGGGAGGGTGGGATGGAGGGCGGGGGGGAGGAGGGGATGGTGGCGAGGGAGGGCAGGGGGGAGGAGGGGATGGTGGCGAGGGAGGGTGGGCAGGGACTGGACGGAAAAGTGGACGGGAGGGAGGTGAGTGGGAAACGAGTGGGTAGGCGAAGGCGAGGGAGGAGAAAGGGAGGAGAGAAGCGAGGGGAGGAGAAACGAGGGGAGGAGAATGGGGAAGGGGTGAAGGGAGGGGAGGAGAAGGGAGGGGAGGAGAAGGGAGGGGAGGAGAAGGGAGGGGAGGATAAGGGATGGGAAGAGAAGGGAGGGGAAAAGAAGAGAGGGGAAGAGAAGGGAGGGGAAGAGAAGGGAGGGGAAGAGAAGAGTGGGCAAGAAGACAGCGAGGCGAAAAGGCAAACGCAGCCTTACATTGGCGTGGAGGCATGCAGCAGGTGAGGCAAGGAGGAAGGAAGTGAGACAGTGAGTCGATCACTTGCCATTCGATCGAGCTTCGGCCTTGCCTTGGCGATCGCATGTTCCCTCGAGCTTCACCTGAATCATATTTTGAGGCGCCTCTGAATTTGCTTGGATCACTGCTCAAATGTTCACAGCCTTCCCCCAAAGCTTCACCTCCCCCCCCACCCCTTGCTACACCCGTCTCCTCCACATCACCCGTCTCCTCCGCATCACCCGTCTCCTCCGCATCACCCGTCTCCTCCGCATCACCCATCTCCTCCCACCCTCGCATCTCCTCTCTTTCATAGCCCTCTCTTTCTCCCACGCACCGCCCCCCTCGCCTTTGCACAACATTCAGGTACGAGAGCTGAACGCTCGCGTGCCTGCACTGCTGGCAGGGCTGCTGCACCGTACCCCCTTTCTCCTCCCTCCCAACCTCCCCCCTCCTCCTTCGCCCCCTCCCCCCTCCTCATTCCCATCTTTCCCCACCCATGTCTCCTCCCCCCTCCTCGTACCCCTCCTTTCCCCCCCCCAGGTACGCCGAGCAGGTGGTGACACCCGAGCTCAACGCACTCGTGGCTGAGCTGCTGGGGGAGCTGCTGCGATTCCAAGTCAGGGCGCTTCAGAAGGACCCCATTAAGGTGAGCCTGGGGGGGGAATGGGCATGGCTTTTGAGTTGACGCAAGCAAGACCGAGGGGGGCTGAAGGAGATCCCGTCATTTTTCTCCCCCACCCCGGTTCCACTCATCCCCCCCGTGCACAGGGAGCGATGCGGCGGCGGGTGCTGGCAGGGCTGAAGGAGGTGGGGCAGGCGGTGCGCAGTGGGAGGGCCAAGTGTGTGGTGCTGGCGCCTAACGTGGAGGAGGTGCCTGGGGCAGGTGAGGTATGGGGGATGAGATGGTAAGGACTGAGATAGTAGTGAATCATGCACAACTGGGTAGTGCTGGAAGGAGGGAGGGCCAAGTGTGTGGTGCTGCCGGCCGCCCAACACAACGTGGAGGAGGTGGCTGCGGCAGGTGAGTGAAGGGGGATAAGGGGGGAAGGGAGGCAAGGGTGGGAGGGTGATGATGTGAGAGATGCTTTATGCTTTTTTCAAATGGTGTGCGCTGCGCAGAATCCAACCACCACTCCTATCCACCCTGATCACCTTTGCCTCCGCCCTCTCCCCATACCGTGTGGCACTGTATCCCAGGTGGTCTTGACGCTGCTCTCTCACCCATCCACCTTCCATCAGGTGGTCGTGAGTCAGCTCTGACGTCGAATGAAAGCTGATTGGACCGTCAGATGCTGTCCTATGCTGCTGCACGCAGCAGCATTCCAAACGCCCCTTCTCCCCTCCCCTCCCCCCGTTCCCCACCCCCTTTTCTGCCCACCAATTGGTCTTAACATGGCCCTTGCAGCCATCCTATCAGATGCGGCTGCACACACCATTCCCAGTTCAAACCAGCCCTACCTATCCACCGTCCCACCATCCCACCCACCCAACCCATCCCCACTCCCCTATGTTCCTCAGGCGGTCTTGATGCGGCCCTCACGTCCATCCTATCAGATGCCACCACGCGGAGCATTCCCGTGGTTGTGGCTCTCTCCAGACGGCGACTCGCCAAGGTGAGTGCAGGTGTTGAATGTGGTGGCCTGTGGTGCTGTCAGGTAGTGCACGGTAAGCTGGGCTGTTGGTTCTATCCTAGAAGTACATGCGTGAGGGGTGATGCACGCAGCATTCGCATGCCCACTGCTGAAGGTTCAACAGGGGTTCTTTCAGGTGCCTACAGGTGAAGGTGCTGAATTTTCCAACGCTGCCTAGCCAAGGTGAGTGCAGGTTAAGGTGGGAAGTAGGGGGCTCGCAATGTAGCATGCCATCATGTCATGTGAGTGACCAGGCAAACTGGAAAGGAACCAGTCGCTGTTGTTGTGAAGCAGCACAAGTCGCTCACTCCCTTCATTGCAACTCTCCGGCATGCATTGCCCTGTCAGTCTCTCTCGCCTTTTTCCCATGCCGCCAGGCATTGAATCACCTGCGGTGTCTCGCGACTGCTGAGGAGATTGTGGACGGCAATAGGGCCGTGCTTGCCTTGCATGTTCCCATCTCCTCTTCGCCCTGCATGTTCACGTTCACTCCCTCCAGGCCAGGCCTTCAACCGCCCGTGCTGCCATTTGTTTCGGTGCCATAGCCATTTTGGACGACAATGCTGCATCGCCCGCACCCTCTCCTCCTTTCCCCCGCTTGCATGCTCCCATATCCTCCCATCTCCTCCCATATCCTCCCATATCCTCCCATCTCCTCCCATATCCTCCCATATCCTCCCATATCCTATATCCTCCCATATCCTCCCATCTCCTCCCATATCCTCCCATCTCCTCCCATCTCCTCCCATATCCTCCCATCTCCTCCCATATCCTCCCATATCCTCCCATCTCCTCCCATATCCTCCCATCTCCTCCCATATCCTCCCATCTCCTCCCATATCCTCCCATATCCTCCCATCTCCTCCCATATCCTCCCATATCCTCCCATCTCCTCCCATATCCTCCCATCTCCTCCCATATCCTCCCATATCCTCCCATCTCCTCCCATATCCTCCCATCTCCTCCCATCTCCTCCCATATCCTCCCATCTCCTCCCATATCCTCCCATATCCTCCCATCTCCTCCCATCTCCTTCCATCTCCTCCCGTCTCCTCCCATCTCCTCCCATCTCCTCCCATATCCTCCCATCTCCTCCCATATCCTCCCATCTCCTCCCATATCCTCCCATCTCCTCCCATCTCCTTCCATATCCTCCCATCTCCTCCCATCTCCTCCCATCTCCTCACTTTTGCACTGCATTGCTCTGCCAGACACTAAACCGCCCTCGGTGTAAAGTGAGTGCCGTGGCCATTCTGGACGACAATGGGACAGCGCTTGCCTTGCCTTGCATTGCAGTTGCAGTGCCCTCACCCACTCCTCGCCCTTTATCCTTGCAACACACCCCCCATTCCCACCTTTCCCTGCCAGGCATTAAACCGCCCTCGGTGTAAAGTGAGTGCCGTGGCCATTCTGGACGACAATGGGGCCGTGCTTGCCTTGCATTGCCCTCACCCACTCCTTCCACTAACCTCTCATCCCTCCCTGCCAGCCAGGCACCAAATCGCCCGCGCTGCCGTGTGAGTGCCGTGGCGATTCTGAACGACCATGGGTCCATGCTTGCATTGCAGTGCCTTCACTCTCTCCTCACCCCTTGCTTGCACTGCATTGCTCTGCCTGCCAGGCTCTAAACCGCCCTCGGTGTAAAGTGAGTGCCGTGGCCATTCTGGACGACAATGGCGCGCACAGGCTGCTCAAGAGCGTGCTGGCAGAGGCAGAGAGGGGGAGGGCGCTGTGGCAGGAGGGGCAGGCGGGGTGGGAGTGGGAGGGGAAGGAGGGGAAGGAGGCAGTTGGTGCATGAGTGGTGGGAAGAAGTGCAGGGGCTGTACGCGCGCCCATGGGGCGCACAGGCTGGTCAATCAAGAGCGTTCTGGCAGAGGCGGAGAGGGAGAGGGAGCTGTGGCAGGAGGGTTGGGCGTGCATTGGCCCCACCCACACCTCCTGCTCTCCTCATGCATCTCGCCTATCCCCTTCACACATTGATGGGGCGCACAGGCTGCTCAAGAGCGTGCTGGCGGAGGCAGAGAGGGGGAGAGGGGGAGCCGCCCTCCCCTGTGTCAGCTGCTACTCTCCCCTCTCATAGCAGCTGCGGTGCCGAAGCAGGTGCCAGACTGCCAGTGGGTGCAGCATGTCAAGCAAGCGCCTGCAGGGGACTCCCATCCTACCGGTACCGTCCAAGCCAAGCCAAGTGCAAGTGTGAAGCAAGCGCATGCATGGCACTCTCCCATCCTACACGTACCAGCCAAGCCAAGCGCCCTTTCTCGTGTCAGCTGCTACCCTCCCCCTTCATCGTGGCAGCGGTGCCGAAGCAGGTGCCAGACTGCCAGTGTGTGCGTGCGGCATGTCAATCAAGCGCATGCATGTACATACGGCAATGACTGTTTTCAGAAGTACTGTTACTGTATTCAAGGTTACCGCTTTGTCAACAACAGTTGAGCATGCTTTTGGGTAAGTTTCCTGAAGGGTTTGCTGTAGCAAACCTTGTAGATCTACTAGACTACTACCAACCAGCACTACTTAGTTCCTCCGAAGGATTTTCCCATGACATGTTGCGAAGCGCCTCCGATAAACAACCCCTAATTATGTAGTCAACAACAGCTATTATTACCTCGACAGTATGGGCAAGGGCATTATAATGATCTCAGAAAAAGAAGGGGGTGCTCGCTCTCACTGCTCACGAAAGAGGAACACCCGTATGAAGAACCCAGGTCCACACGCCACCCAGGGCTGTTCAAATTTGATAGGAAAAAAGGGGAATGAAAGAGAGGAACGGGAACGGTCTACTATATACTCTGTACCAGTACAACCCGTCTTATAAAAATCAGCCCCCTAAAAGAATTTGTTGTTTCATGTTAGTCTAGTGTGTCTGTACCGGTACAACCCGTCTTATAAAAATCAGCTCCCTAAAAGAATTTGTTGTTTCATGTTAGTCTAGTGTGTCTGTACCGGTACAACCCGTCTTATAAAAATCAGCTCCCTAAAAGAATTTGTTGTTTCATGTTAGTCTAGTGTGTCTGTACCGGTACATCGTCGTCACAATGCTGAGCTTTAATGACGCCACGCCACCATAGAACTGAGTTCCACAGGTCATGACCACACTCATCATTCTTCTCCACTCCACGCCCTCTTCCCTTTTCCCTTCCCTTAACCACCCCTCTCCTCTTATCCCCCCCTGCTTTCCCCATCAAACGAGTTGTCAATGGCACTGCCAACCTTCCTACCTAACCATATGGCATTGGGGTGACAATTCCGCAGCAGCGGAAGAGGGGCACTTGAAGGAATGGGGGTGATGGGGGATGGAGCATGGGGAGGGATGGGGGTGGTGGGGGGGGGAGTATGGGGAGGGTGGTGAAGGTTGGAGCGTGGGGAAGGATGGCGGTGTGGAGGGTGGAGCATGGAAAAGGGATGGTGAGGTCAACAATTTGAGCGGCATGGCTTCGGGGTCAAAATTGCACGGCAGCTGAAAGGGAGGTGGCATGAAGGGATGGGGGTGGTGGAGGGTGGAGTGCGAGGAGGGTGCAGCATGGTAAGAACATTAATAAAAAACTCAAGAACAGTCCATGTTATGTCTTGGATGTGAAAAAACAGCCACAGGAAACAATTACCTCCTGGACTGGACTCTACTTCACAGTTCCAATCCAAAAGCAGCTTTTGAGGATTCTCAATCCAGCAACGCCCTGTGGGCCAATCACTCACAAAGAGTTTGGACTTGACTCGAAATTGCTTGCAAGCATATGGGATACATTGCCTTATGATGAGAGGGATGCGCACGCATGACAACCGTGACGGAGAGAGACAAGGGGAGCTGCAGCAGCTTCAGTCAAATCGAAACGCACCCATCAGAATCACATCTGTCACACACACACAGACACACACACACACACACACCCACACACACACACACACACACAAACACACACACACACACACACACACACACACACACACACACATGCAACACATTGTCCCTCAATGTGAGGGATAAGTTACTATTCACCTCCTCTTCAATGTGACAAGGGTATGTGTGCCAAGCAGCAGTGGTGACGACGGGGGCTGCAGCAGCCAAAGGGAGGGCAGGGAGGGAGCAAGGGGACGGAGCGAGCGGAGGGAGAAAGGGGGGGGGTTGAGGCACAGAAAGGTTGGGAGGAGCACTGGGGAGCTGGAAGGAGCTGTTGAAAATTCTTAGTAGCAGCCTGCAGACTCATCTCTCAGGCACAATCACCACGTTGTTCCTTGAGAACGGGCATGGGAGTGAGGGATGGCAGCGAAATGGGCGGCAGCAGCTTTTGGGACGTCTCAAAAGGGGCTGTTGAAGAAGTTCAGTAGCAGCCAGCAGATTTATCTGTCAGGTGCAATCGCTACGTTGCCTCTATATAAGGGTCGTGGGGCTGGAGTAAGGGATGGCAGCGAGATGGGCTGCAGGAGCCAATGGGAGAGCATGGATGGAGTGAGGGGATGGGAAGAGGGGGAGCGAGAAGAGAAAGCGAGGCAGCACATTTGTTGTAACAACCTGCAGATTCATCTCTCAGGCACAATCACTACGCTGTCTGTTGAGAAGGGGCATAGGTTGGAGTAAGGGATGGCAGCAAGATGGGCTGCAGGAGCCAATGGGAGAGCATGGATGGAGTGAGGGGATGGGAGGGGATGGGAGGGGAGAGAGCGAGGGGAGGGAGAAAGGGATGGAGCGAAGGGGCGGAGCGAAAGGGATAGAGGGAGGAAGGGGATGGAGTGAAGGGATGGAGCGAGGTGATGGAATGAAGGGATAGAGGGAGGGAGGGGATGGAGCAAGGTGATGGAATGAACAGATAGAACAAAGAACAAAGAGGGATTATCATTCATCAACGGTGATCAGGCGCAGCAATTGCAGTGGGGCGCGGAGGAGGGATCGAGGGAGAGAGGGGACTGGACAAAGGGATAGTAGGCAATCGATGGCGAAAGGTGCAGCGGTTACTGTGGGCAACTGAGGACTGAATACCACCACAGAATCGGTCAGAGTGGGTGAAATTTGAACGGAGGCACAAGAGGACACAGAGGGACAAGAGGGCACAGAGGGACAAGGGCACAGAGGGACAAGAGGGCACAGAGGGACAAGGGCACAGAGGGACAAGGGCACAGAGGGACAAGGGCACAGAGGGACAAGGGCACAGAGGGACAAGGGCACAGAGGGACAAGGGCACAGAGGGACAAGGGCACAGAGGGACAAGGGCACAGAGGGACAAGGGCACAGAGGGACAAGGGCACAGAGGGACAAGGGCACAGAGGGACAAGGGCACAGAGGGACAAGGGCACAGAGGGACAAGGGCACAGAGGGACAAGGGCACAGAGGGACAAGGGCACAGAGGGACAAGGGCACAGAGAGGGCACAGAGGGACAAGAGAGGCAGAGAGGCAGAGAGGGATTATAAGTCATCGATGTTAAACAGTTGGGCTGCCATGTACTTACTACCATTGAATCGCACAGAGGGGTTGTAATTAGATCTCGTGCACAGATGAAAACGCCTGGGCACCGAGGCACAGAGGCACAGCGGCACCTGCATGTGGAAACCAGAAACAATCAGCCTGGATTTCCGAGAACTCCCAAAAAACCAACTTGAAGCAATCAGCTCTCGGGAGCTATGTTGCGTTCCACTCCAAAAGCAGCTTCTGAGGATTCCCAGTCAGAAAAATGCTTTCGGGTATTCCCAACCCACAAACGCTTTCGAGGTTTCTCAGCTAGACAATGTCCTGCAGACCAATCACTCACGAGAACCGCAAACCATAAACCCTGACAAGGGTATGTGTGCAGGGCAGCAGTGATGGCGACGAGGGGGGCTGCAGCAGCCGAAGGGAGGGCAGGGAAGGAGCGAGCGAAGGGAGCGAGGGGAGGGAGCAAGTGTACGGAGCGAGGGGAGGGAGCAAGTGTACGGAGCGAGGGGAGGGATTGCGGCACAGAAAGGTTGGGAGGGGCACTGGAGAGCTGGAAGGAGCTGTTGAGAATTCTTAGATGCCGCCTGCAGATTCATCTTCAAGGCACAATCACTACGCTGTCTCTTGAGAAGGGGTATGGGGTGGAGAGAGGGATGGCAGCGAGACGGGCTGCAGCAGCCAATGGGAGAGCATCGACGGAGTGAGGGGATGGTAAGTGGGGAGGGAGGAGGGGGAAGGAGCGAGCAGAGGGAGCGAGGCACAGAAAGGTTGGGAGGGGCAATGGGGAGCTGGAAGGAGCTGTTGAAAACTCTTCATTGCAGGCTGCAGATTCATCTCCCAGGCGCAAACACTACGCTGTCTCTTGAGAAGGCATGGGGTGGAGTGAGGGATGACAGCGAGACAGGCTGCAGCAGCTTTTGAGAGATCTTGAAAGGAGCTGTTAATAAACTTCTTGTAACGACCTGCATATTCATCTCTCAGGCGCAATCGCTGCGTTGCCTCTATATAAGCGGCGTGCGGCTGGAGTAAGGGATGGCAGCGAGATGGGCTACAGGAGCCAATGGGAGAGCATGGACGGAGTGAGAGGATGGGAAGAGGGGGGGGGGACGCGAGGGGAGGGAGCAAAGGGATGGAGCAAAGGGATGGAGGGAGGGAGGGGTTGAAATGAAGGGATGGAACACAATAGCGTAGAGGGAATATGATTCATCGATGGCGAACAGGGCAGCGATTATGACGGGCTGCGGAGGAGGACTGACTCCTACCATAGAATCGCACATAGGAGTTGAAATTTGATCGTGTGCACAGATCGAAATGCCTGTGCACCGAGGCACAAAGGCACAGACGGATACTTTTGAGACGTCTCAAAAATGAAATGCCTGTGTACCGAGGCACAAAAGGACAGAGGCACAGAGGAAATATTTACCACGAACGATAAACAGATGGGCCGCAAAGGGCTCAATATCATGAAATCGCAGAGAGGGGTTGAGATCTGATTCCGTGCACTGGAGAGGCCCAGATCAAAACGCCTGTGAAACGAGGCGCAGAGGCAGAGAGGCATTGGCGAGCCGATGACTTGTGTTGAGAGGGGGAGAGGGACGCACAGGTACATGTGCGACTGTGCTCTCGCCTCCCCTGTGCGACTGTGCTCTCGCCTCCCCTGTGCGACTGTGCTCTTGCCTCCCCTATACGACTGTTATGTAACGTTAGAGTACTGAACGTACCGTGGCGTTACTTGGGGTAACATTAAACGGACCGTTGGCGTAGCGACAGAATAACGTAAGCGACTAAATTTTGGCCTGCGATGCAGGCAGGCAGATTTCGAGAAACCGAAAAAATCTTAAAATGCAGGGAGTCGAGTCTAGAGTACCCTCGAAAAATTCAGTCGCGACGAGAAAACCGCGATCGACTGTAACATCCCTCCTCCTCCTCAATCGACTACCTGGATTGACTTAATCCGGGCGTTCGGGATAATACTACTATTGTCTAAAAACCTGCCAGGGCATCTGCGAGAGTAAGCATCGTAGTGCAATTTGTGTAATAAATGAGGAAGGAATGAATGAACTAGCAAGCAGGTGGGTACAAGTAGGAAAACCTAAAAGTGTTGTACCCCATATTGTCTACCCCACTACAGCCTACACAGACTATAGCATATGAGTTTGACACACCCCCATGGGCAAAGTGGGGGAGAACAAGAGGTCACAAGACCAGTCAAGCAAAGCAAAGCAAGCTCAGGGTGGATCACAACGTCACCACACAGTCCGAGCACAAGAGCAAGGCCACAAGGCCAGTTCACATGCAAGATCATATATAAAGGTAAACAAGCAAGTGCAGGTATAGAAGGATCACAGTACAAGCAAGGTCAAGAAGTGAGCAAGTGAGGCCAAGTAGGCACAAGACCTAGCATCGTACAGAAGCGCTGATGATCACCAGACGGAAGTGCCTTGGTAAAGATATCAGCAGTGTTGGCCTCAGAGGCCACGTAAGCAAGGCGCAGCTGACCACGCTGCTGCAGCTCACGAGCAAGGAAGTAGCGAAGAGCAATGTGCTTCGTTCTGTGCTCCAGTCTGTGCTCCCGACACAAGGCCAGCATGGCCTTGTTGTCTACGTACAGAACTGGAGGAGAACGAGGCGGCTCTCCTAGGTCAGTCAGCAGGTAGGTGAGCCAGCGTAGCTCCTGTGCAGCCATGGCCCCCGCGTAGATCTCAGCCTCACAGCAGGAGCCGAGAACAGAAGTCGAGCGGGTAGACCGCCACGAAACAGAGCCGGAGCCAAGGCTGAAGGTGTAACCCTGTGACGACCGCTGCGTAGCCTGGTCGTCAGCCCAAGAAGCGTCTGCGTGACCTGTGAGGACCACTGGACGTCGCCCTCCAAGCACTAGCCCCATGCCCGACGTACTGCACAAGTAGCGCAACACCCTCTTCGCTGCAGCCATGTGCTCTGGTCGGTGTCTCCCAGGAGCAACATAGCGTGCCAAGATGCTAAGAGGGTATGCTAGGTCAGGTCGTATGCAGGTCATCAGGTACATGAGGCAGCCAACAAGCTCTGGGTACGGGCCACTCGGCTCTACGGACTTATCCGAAGGCAGAGCTGAGAGCGAGTGGCGAGTAGACAGAGGAGTGGCCTGAGGCGAGGAGTACGTGAAGTCGAAGCGCTGAAGGACCTGCTGCACCATGTGTGACTGAGTCAGGGTAATGGTGCGCTGTGCTCTGTCCCGGGTGATCTGCAAGCCAAGGTAGCTGCGCAGTTCACCCAGGTCTGTGCACGTGTGTCTCTTCTGCAGCTCGGACTTCACGTGGGCGAGTCCAGCAGTGTCAGCAGTGGCAAAGACCAAGTCGTCGACGTACACGAGGATGTAGAATGGCGGCAAAGAGGTGTCGGTGCGCAGAAACAGCGACGGGTCGGCAGTAGACAGAGTAAACCCAAGAGCCGCAAGTGTAGTCCTCAGTGTGTCGTGCCACTCACGGGGCGCCTGGCGGAGACCGTAGACTGGCCGCCGGAGGCTCCACTGGGTACCAGGAGGAAACGACCCAGTGAAGCCAGGTGGGCGGCGCAGCCAGATCTCCTCGTGCAGGCTGCCCTGCAGGAAAGCTGTGCTGAAGTCAAGAGAGTGAAGCTCGTAGTCGCGCTGAGCGGCTATGTGCAGCAGCACCCGAAGAGTGGTCATCTTCGGGGTGGGAGAGAAGGTCTGAAAGTAGTCAACTCCCTGCCGCTGACTGAAGCCTCGAGCCACGTAACGCGCCTTGAAGACAGGCGGAGAACCCGGCGGCCGCTTCACCCTGAAAATCCACATGCCACTGACGATGTTCGCCCCAGGTGGGGGAACCTCGTCGACGTAGGTGCCTGTGGACTTCCAGGAAGCCATCTCTGCGTCCATGACTGACTGCCACTGTGAGGAGTAGGGACCCTCGATCGCCTCAGCGTACGATCGAGGAGTCGGGATGTCTGGTGCATCCGGGTCTCCCTCAGGGGCAATTAGCGTGGACACGAGATGAGGCAAAGCAGCAGCAAAACACTGGAACTCCTCCTGCCTGTCCTCAAGGACGTCCGTGCTAAGAGCACACTCACCCCCGACGGACGAAGGACAGACAGACTCAGACTCAGCAACGAGACTAGCGGCGTAGTCTAGACGACAGCGAGCAGCAAAGTCGACAAGCTCAGCAACTAAGGCAGACGCAGCAGTGGACTCAAAGGAAGGGTCAGTGACAACAGTGGCCAGGAGACGCGTGACAGTAGGACTGGTAGCACGAAGAGAGTCAGACTCCGGGTCAGCAAGAACAGGAAGAGAGGACTCTGGAGGAGACGGCAACGGGACACGCAGAGGAGCAGTGGAAGGACGCAATGCTATCTAGTGTGTGCCTGGGACCGCAGGAGGACGCGGACGCGGAGCACGACCACTAGTGCGAGCAGCACGAACAGGCGACGCAGGACGAGACGCAGGCTCACGACGCTCAGCAAGACCTCCAGTAGGACCAGTGTAGGGAGAAGGAGCAGGTAGGGGGGAGGCGGGCTGTAACTGTGACCGCGACCAGACAGGCTGTGGACACTCTAAGGGAGGAGCAGGACCAGTAGAGGGCGGGAGACCAAGAACCTGCTCAAGGAGCGGAACGAAGTACGGCCTCGGCCGCGGAGCGCCTCCAGAACCAGCAGGGACAGCACCAGTACCCCCAGCGGCAGCACCAGCGCCAGCAGCACCCCCAGCTCCAACAGCGCCAACTCCAGCACCCTCAGAAGCACCAGCGCCAGCACAACCACCAGCGCCAACACCCCCAGCAGCTCCAGCTCCAGTAGCTCCAGCAGCACCAACTCCAGCAGGACCGTCAGCTCCAGTACCGCCAGTACGAGCACCTCCAGGACCAGCAGCAACAGTAGTACCTCCAGCTCCAGCAGCACGGCTCCAGCGCCGGGCAAACCACTCGCGCAGCTCTTGCGGAGAGAGTAGCTCCCGCCTCGACGAAGCACCGCCAGAGGCCACACGAGCAGACCCAGCACCCCCAGGCTCCGCACCCCCAGGCTCCGAACCCCCAGGCTCAGCACCCCCAGGCTGCGCACCCCCAGGCTCAGCACCCCCAGACTCAGCACCCCCAGGCTCAGCACCCCTAGACTCAGCACCCCCAGGTTCCGCACCCCCAGGCTCAGCACCCCCAGACCCGGCACCCGCAGGCTCAGCGCCCCTAGCAGCACCAGAGTCAACAGCTACCTCGACAGGCTCGACTGCGTCTACCTGGGACACACCTGACGGGGCAGGACCCTGAGGGGGGAGAGGGTCTACCGGGGGAGGACCTGGCGCAAGGAAGAGCGGCGGCGGGGGGAGGGGCGCAATGCGGTAGGGGAAGAGACGGTAGTAAGGCACCGACTCGTCAAAGGTGACGTCCTGGGAGGACAGAACACGGCGCGAGGTGGGGTGGTAAAACTGCCAACCAGGCGCGTCAGGGGGGAAGCCAAGGAAGACGCAGGGAACAGCACGGGGGGACAGTTTGTCCGCAGACAAGTCGCGGACAAACGCCCGAGATCCCCAGACCCGAAACGCAGACGCATCGCCAACCTTCCCCGTCCACCGCAAGGTGGGGGAGGTCTCTGGCAAGGAGACCCGGGGCTGAAGGTCGAGCTGATGCGCTGCGTACTGAACCGCAAACGGCCACAGAAAATGGGGAGCAGCCGCACGGATCATGGACGTACGAGCGACGTCCATGACCATGCCAATGCGTCGCTCAGAAATCCCATTTTGCTGTGGAGAGGCCGGAAGCGTGAAGGTCTGGCGGATGCCCTGTGCACGACAGAAGGCTCCCAGACGGGCAGAGGAAAACTCCCCGCCTCTGTCAGAGTGCAGACGCAGAACAGGAAAGTCCGAGCCGAAACTCTCTCTGAGCTGGAGACGAGCTGCGCGGATCCAGTCGATCAACACCTCAGTGATGTCACCCTTGCTGCGCAAGGGGAACACCGTGGTGTAACGCGAGTAGTCGTCAACCAC